CCCCAAAACCCCAAAACCCCAAAACCCCAAAACCCCATGTATCAAATCTGTAATTTGATAGCTCTTAGAGATATAAAAACAGTTGAAAGAATACTTTAATGAATTGCAAAGTTTAAATAATACGAATTGTATGTTTGCTTTAGATACAGGCTCAGAGTGGAAGGTTATTGTGTCTCCTTGCTGGCTTGATTCTGTTCTTTGACTCTAACACCTTTAAGTTATCGAGTATAATATCTCTAGTATTTTCTGGGATGACAATGTCATCTACATAACCTCTCTCTGCAGCTTTAAGTGGGTTGGCGAAAGCATGCTCGTACTTTTTAGTCTCTTCCTCAACGTTCTTACCTCTGAAAATAATTTCGACGGCTCCCTTAGCTCCCATGACGGCAACCTCAGCAGTTGGCCAGGCATAGTTGTAATCACCATTAAGATGTTTGCTGCTCATGACATCATAAGCACCACCATAAGCCTTTCTAGTGATGAAGTTTATCTTTGGTACAGTTGCTTCTGCGTATGCGTACAAAAGTTTAGCTCCATGCTTGATGATACCACCGAACTCTTGGACAGTTCCTGGCAAGAAGCCTGGAACATCAGTGAAAGTGACAAGTGGAATTTGGAAAGCATCACAGAATCTAACGAATCTTGCTGCTTTAACTGAAGCATCGATATCTAAACAACCAGCAAGTACTTGGGGTTGATTAGCAACAACTCCGATAACTCTGCCTTCAACTTCTCCAAAACCAACTAAGATGTTTCTTGCATAATCTGGCATGATTTCGTAAAATTGGTTTCTATCAACAACACTGTCAATTACGATTTTCATATCATATGGCTTGTTTGGGTCGAATGGAACAATATTGTTCAAAACTTTGCATGATGATTGACTGTTTCTGTCAAATTGAGTCCAAGGTCTAGGTGCTCTCTTCTCATGGCAATTTTGTGGAAGATAAGTCATGAGTTGTCTGGTGCTTGCAATTGCTTCAATATCGTTTTCGAAAGCTCTGTGAGACACTCCTGATACGCTTGAATGCATTTTAGCTCCTCCAAGTTCTTCTTTAGTTACAGTCTCCTTGGTAACAGTCTTTACGACCTCTGGACCTGTGACGAACATGTAACTTGTATCTTGAACCATGAAAGTGAAGTCGGTCAAAGCAGGTGAGTATACTGCACCACCGGCACATGGTCCCATAATGAGAGAAATCTAGGGAATCACTCCAGATGAATCAACATTTCTTTAGAAGATCTCTGCATATCCAGCAAGTGATTCTACTCCCTCTTGAATACGAGCACCACCTGAATCGTTTAAACCAACGCAGGGAGCCCCTGTGAGAACTGCTTTGTCCATAATTTTGCAAATCTTCTCAGCGAATGTCTCTGATAGAGATCCACCGAAGACAGTGAAATCTTGAGAGAATGCATAGGTTAATTTCCCATTAACTAAACCATGACCAGTAACTACACCATCACCAAAGATCTTCTCTTTCTCCATTCCAAAGTCGTGGCATCTGTGAGTCACATACTTATCATACTCTACAAAAGTTCCCTAATCAAAGAAGAGGTTGATGCGTTCTCTAGCTGTTAATTTGTGAGATGCATGCTGCTTATCGATTCTTTTTTGACCTCCTCCTAAGAGAGCTTCCTCTTAGATTTGCTTGAATCTTTGAGTGAATGCAGCTTGAGCTGAGAACTCTTTATTTTGGGTCTAGAATAGCTAGACTCCTGGTAGCTTTGAGGCATTGAGATTCCTCAGTCTACTTTGAAGTGCCTTCATTTTATCAAAAAGATTTTAATTTTAAAATGGAATCACTCTAGCTAGTCTATATCCCTTAATTTTTTATCATTCACTAAGCAGTCAAAGATATTAAATCCAATAATTTAGTTCATTAATCTTACTGATAAATTAGTAGACTGGGGTTTTGGGGTTTTGGGGTTTTGGGGTTTTGGGG